CTGGTTTTCCGTCAAGACCATCTGGACCGGGCGGGCGACTGGAGGAGCGGCGGCCTGTACGAGTTCTGCTCCTCCGTCATGTTCGAGGCCACCTTCCTGACCATCTATGGCAAACCGGCGAGCGGCGTCCGCCACCGAGGGATGGACGATCTGAGGAGGGACTTCAACAAGTTCGATAGCATGTTCCCGTTCCTCATCGCTCAGATTCCCATCTGGCTGCTGGGCCGGACCAAAGCCATCCGCCAGAAGCTGATCTCCTACTTCCTGCCGCAGAAGATGTCCCGCTGGTCCAACACCTCCCAGTTTATCCAGAGAAGGTCGGAGCTGTTTGAGCAGCACGATAAGCTGAAGGACGTGGATAAAGCAGGTAGGTCATCCATGTTAATCCAGTTAGAGGGGGGGGAGGGTGTACCGAATCATTAAACCATCAGAGATTAGATTCAACCGCAGAGATTAAACCTGAGTTTAACTGGTTCTGACCTCCAGCTCATCACTTTGCCATCCTGTGGGCGTCCGTCGGCAACACGCTTCCTGCTACCTTCTGGGCCACCTACTTCCTGGTGAGCCAGCCCCAAGCGCTGAAGGTGGTCCGTCAGGAGATCCTGGACGTCTTGAGGGACGATGGCGTCGAGTTCGACGCCAGCAGGGACGTCCTGCTCAGCAAAGAGCAGCTGGATAAGCTTATCTTTCTGGGTCAGTAGGTCTTTCTCTGATTCTCTGCTGACGTTGGTGAACCGGTCGATAACGAGCGCTCTCCGTTCCCAGAGAGCTCCATCAACGAGAGCCTCCGCCTTTCCTCGGCCTCCATGAACATCCGGGTGGCTCAGGAGGACTTCAGTCTGCGGCTGGACAACGACCGATCGGTGGGCGTCAGGAAAGGAGACGTCATCGCCCTGTACCCTCAGAGTCTCCATCTGGACCCCGAAATCTATGAGGAGCCCCAGGTACCGCCGTGAGGGCCGCCATTTATCCAGAGGTTCTCTGAAAGCCCAGAGCTGCACGTTAGCTTCATCTGCTAGGATTCATGTTGGCTTTGGGGATGTTCTGCTGCCCCCTGCTGGATTTCTAGCTGAACTGCCCTCAGTAGAAGGAAACTTCCTGAGGTTCTAGCAGATGTTTCACGTCTCACCTTAGTGTTTTAACACTTTAGAAAAAATCAACTGAAACACTTTAGGGAGACAGAGGAAGTTCATTTGGTTTGGATCAGATCACTCTGAGTCCCTTTGATCTGCCATTGCAGACGTTTTCCTCAGAAATAATAAAAAGATGAGTTTTTTTTTAATTCCAAGGGTCAAATGAATATAACACAATTCTGAAATGAAAAAGAGAGATCATATCTCTCCTATCCTGGCTTCTCTTCATTGGCTTCCTGTTAAATCCAGAATA